AAAAAAATAAGAAATCAGGAAGGGGGCCAACACTTTTTCACACCACTGTATAACCCAGCCTGAGGTATTACCATGATAAAGCACAGCATGTTATTGCCTCATATCATGTCCAAAAATCATGGTAATATGATTATAATTTTGGTAAATATTAGTCCAGCCAGTCATGCAGCTGCAAGACACGGTGGATCTGAGGCAGTCGGGAGGTTTAGAGGTGACCTCAGCGCTCATGACTCATGACTTAATTAGTGCCGTAATCAACACTTACTTCCTCTGATTACAGGAAAAAGCAAGAAGAAGGACAAGTGTAAGAACAGCCAGATGTACCCTCTGAGCGAGACCCAGTACTGCCCCTGTGACAAATACAGCGCCCAGCCGGTGGGAAACTGGTCTGATTGCATCCTGCCCGAGGGCCGCGTGGAGAACGCCGCAGGCATGAAGGTGCAGGGAGACGTGAAGGAGTGTGGACAGGGCTACCGCTACCAGGCCATGGTGTGCTACGACCAGGACAACAGGCTTGTGGCGACTTCACGCTGTAACAGTCACGGTAAGGTGTTCATCACGTGACTCTGAGCATAGAGTTGACATCATGACATAATTATAGTTAGCTGACTGTACTAAGTTACCTTCCTGGACTGCACTAAACTAATTTATATTAATAAGCCAAGCCAAGCCGTGGGTTAAATTCCCAACCTGTGAAGATTTGACAGTTTAAATGTATGGCCTTGCAGACGTACTAAGCACAAATTTTTTAAAAAGCAGCTTGAAAAATCTTGGAAATACATACATTTTAAATATTTCTTATGAAAATGTATCCGGTTTTGCATATAAAAAAGCATTCACATGTAATTTGCATACAATAAAATGACAAAAAGACATTCCATTGTAATAAATGTTTTAATTTTGTATTATTATTTTATTTTTTATTATTTTTTATTTTTTTTATTTTATTTATAAAATAATATTCCCAGTCTTAATATAGAATTTAATGATTATGTTATTTAACCATGTTTTTTGATAATTATAAGTGCTGGAAGCTTTTCTAACTGGAGCTTGATAAATATTTTTTTAAGATAATATAATCATGAAATACTATATTAAGATATGTATGTATGTATACACCCAGTCCACCCAGTCTTAATATAGTATTTAATGATTATGATAATATAAGTGCTTTCCTATTTAAAATTGGAGCTTAATAAATACGTTTTTATTTTATTTTTCATTTTTGTTTTATTACCAGCCAGTCTTAATATGGTATGTATTTATTTATTTATGTATTTAAGCTGGTAATGTAAGTGCTTTTATTAAGCCTTTAAAACTGCAGCTTAATAAATTATTTATATTGTTTATTTTTTATTAGTTTTTTCAAAGTTGATAATATACTGTAAACGTCAGCATTTTTTATTTTTTATATAAATTTTTATTTTTTATTTTACTTAATGTTTAAAATAATTGTATTTGTTTCATTTTAATTTAAAATACAAGCTGTTTTTTGACGTTTTTTTATTAGGTTTCCATAGCCATGGAAAACCCAGACACAATAAAACTGTAATTAAGTCATGCTATAAACTATTCTGTTTTATAGCATGGTTATTATAGATAAAAAAGATGGTTGTATACAAAAAAGCATGAGAAAATAAAGCATTCGTGTCTAAATTTGCTGAGTGCAATGTCAAGTCCAAATTGCAGCTTTTGTCTGGCTATAAAGCGTGACATTTAAGGGCAGGTAAATCACACCTTCAGCTGATCATGTGTTGTTTCATCCCTATTCATTTGTCTCTGTCTACAGCTTCCTCTCTCTTGTGACCTTTCCTCTCCTCTGTCTTTAGCTGATCTCTCTGTTCGTGAATCTTTTGGTGCATTGCTCTCTTAATCTTGTTATTTGGATGACGAGCAGACTGGTATGAGTGCCAGGCGCTGCTCGCTTGACTGTGTCCTCTGCCCGAGTGTCTGTTGCGCCCTGCTGATCTGCAGGTATAAATCTCCGGCCCACATTACAGACCGCATGCTGTCCCGGGATTGGCCTAATCAGAGCTGACATTAACCACTGACAGATACTCTCGCTTTTACAGCACATGGCCCACGCGGGTTTGGGAATTCGAGAACGGGTTCTTATTCAGCCTGAATACATTTAAAAAAATGCTTTGAATGTACGAATGATTTTCATGATATCAGGGTTAGAAATGGGTTCTGTAATATAAATATTGTTTATATTTGTAATATAAACATTTTTATGGAAGTTCTAAGCGGCCATGCATTATTATTTTTTCCTTCTTGTTTTCTCGTGATCACAACATAACAAGAGTTGTTTTCTCGTGATCACGACTTTATTTTTCTCGTGATCTCGACATAACAAAAGTTGTTTTCTTTATCACGACATATTTTTCTCTCGGTATCTCGACATAACAAAGGTTGTTCTCTTAGAAGTTCTATACACATTTATACTTAGGAGTTTCAGTAGAACAACAGTGAACTGCGTTCAGATGAGATGTTGTCAGGCCATATGTCAGTAAAAACGAATCTTCGTTGTTATACTGTGCTCGTAGCGTGTGCTCTTCAAGTGCATGCACTAATGTGCTGGCGTGCACTGTATTAGGCTATATTAAAGCGCTGTATCATATTCAAACCCAAATGAAACTACGAGTATGCAATGTCTTAGTTATGACGTCAGTTAAGTCATGAGGTTACAAAAAAAGGCAATTAAAGCTGCCTTAAAACTGTGCATGTAAGTATTCATTATTTATGAGTCACATTTAAAGCAGTATCAGACTTGCGTCAAGTTCAGCAGCGGCAGCTCTTAAAGTAGCAGCCAAAATATTCTAATAACCAGCTGCTGAGATGTCTGTTACTCAAAGAACAAAATAAAAAAGAGGAAATCAATAACTGTAGTTTTAATCTTTATTTAATTTAGAATTCAGGTATTTCAGGTAGCGGTATGACATTTATTATAAAGGGTTTATGTGAAGATTCTTTTAAGTTCACTTAAATTAGAAGTTATTTTTAAGGTCTAATAAATGTTAAATTGATAGCTCTCAAATATACTGTAATGTTGAATGGCTATAGTCAATGGTTAAATATTAGAAAAAAATTCTGGTATCAGTGATACTTGCCTTCAGTCATAAAAAAGATGGCATTAAGCAAATATTAAAAATATATTTTCTTTATATTGTTTCTACATTAATTTGAAGATTGAATTAGAAATTATTGCAATATAAAAGTACAATTAAAAAGTTTAATGTTAGGTGGGATTAATCAAGATTAGTTTCAGAAAAAATGTATGATTAATTAGTTAATTATTTTTAATCGATTGACACCACAAGTTTTTAGATGTAAAATGTGAATTAATATATATATCTATTATAATATAATTTTAAATTATTCATTTATTTACATTTTTTTTAATTTATGTATTTATTAAGAATAAATGTTATTAAATATATAAAAAATATTATATGTAAAAAAAAACATAAAACCAGTCACTTGCCAGTAGGCATGGGCCGGTATGAGATTTTGATGGTATGATAACTGTAAGCAAAAATATCACGGTTTCACGGTATCACGGTATTGTCGTCACAGCTCTAAAATGTGTTATTTTTAAATGACTGGGTAAAAAAAAACTAAAAAAACTTTTTTCAGCTGAACACAATATATTTTGTTTTTGAGTAACTTACAGAATATTAGGAACAGTAGAATTTGTTTATTTTTCTTTGATTTGTTTCCTAAAAAGAAGAAAAATAAAGACTGACATCTTTATTTGACCTAAATCTGTAATTACAGTTATTTAATTTTAGTTATATAATTCATATACATATAATTTATATCATTTCATATAATTTAGTTATATAATTTCATATACATAATTTGATTTAATAATAACCCAATTTGAAGCAAAATCAGAATGTTCTGACTAGCTTTGTGAAATTATACTACATTGGGGGGGGGGACGACGACCATTTAGACAAAAAGGTTATTCTATGGCATCGTGAAACACCTTTATTTTTAAGAGTGTATATGAAATTATATAACTAAATGATATGAAATGATGTAAATGATATGTATATGTAATGTTGGGGGGGGGTGAGTGACCCAGACACACACACACACACACACATATATATATATATATATATATATATAGTATGCATGAAAATGCGTATTTTTCAATTAAAGACAGCTTATAGATTTAATATGGGTTGCTTTTTTATTGGTCATGTTGTGTTTCAAGAATAAGGTCCAAGGTTAAGATATATGCTATTAGTTACTTAAATATAAAACATTTCAACAAACAACATTACAGTAGTGAAAGACGACTTCCCTTACTGATCACGTCTCTTGCGCGGCGGGATGTTGGACTCATGAAAAATAATCATGTTGTTTGTATTCACCAAAACTGATTTACTGAAGTCAAAACACGGACGGAATTGGCGTTAGTGCGAGCGCCGCTTGCTGTGAGGCGGGAGCGACCAGCCGGCAGAGGATTCCGCAGCCTTCCTTGAACAGTTATGTTCACGATCTGTGATTGGATGATGACAGGTATCGGATTCGATGATCATTCTCAAGTGATCAGCACTGCTGCTGTTGTATCAGTCCGTGGTTAGATCAGCGTATACTGTCAAACAGCGGGACAAGGGAGGTCACGTACAGGACAAATCAATTAGGCCCAAAATACGGGACGTTGGCAAACCTAGTTGCTTGCAATAAGACATTAATATGGGCTGCTTTTTTATTGGTCATGTTGTGTTTCAAGAATAAGGTCCAAGGTTAAGATATATGCTATTAGTTACTTAAATATAAAACATTTCAACAAACAACATTACAGTAGTGAAAGACGACTTCCCTTACTGATCACGTCTCTTGCGCGGCGGGATGTTGGACTCATGAAAAATAATCATGTTGTTTGTATTCACCAAAACTGATTTACTGAAGTCAAAACACGGACGGAATTGGCGTTAGTGCGAGCGCCGCTTGCTGTGAGGCGGGAGCGACCAGCCGGCAGAGGATTCCGCAGCCTTCCTTGAACAGTTATGTTCACGATCTGTGATTGGATGATGACAGGTATCGGATTCGATGATCATTCTCAAGTGATCAGCACTGCTGCTGTTGTATCAGTCCGTGGTTAGATCAGCGTATACTGTCAAACAGCGGGACAAGGGAGGTCACGTACAGGACAAATCAATTAGGCCCAAAATACGGGACGTTGGCAAACCTAGTTGCTTGCAATAAGACAAAAAACGGCCGGTTGCCGATCGCGTGAGTTCCAGGGGAAGCTCCTTAAGT